GTGACTGGACGCTGCCGTTTGTTTATATGGTTTAAACCCTGCGGCCACGCGTGTGCTTGCTTTCGACCTTAGCACCGCCCTGTCCTCGCGGCGGGGCACAGCCGGGCTCCGTAGCGCGTGAAACCGCTGTTAATAAGAAGAGAAACAAACACGCCGGCCGTGCGCGGGGAGCGCGGGTCGCAGCCGCCCTCCAAGCTTTTCCCCTGGAGTCAGCGCTTACTGACCCTGTGCTGGAGAACGTGCTGCTTCCTTGTGAAGAGGAGTTTGTCCGGGCCTGAGTTCCAAAGCAAAATATTAGCCATAGCGACAGGAGGTAAAGCTGGTGTTCTCTGTTTGGTTAGCACGGGTTTGTTTTCCCTCGGCCCAAGCCTAGTAGGGTTGCAGGGGGACAGGCAGTGGGTTTGTGAGCTTGTCCTGTAGGAAGCTGCCAGTATCCCCTGCAAAATACGTTGCTGGGGCACCGTACGCCTGGATGAGCAAGCACTTACCTTTTTTTTCCGTGTAAATGTGCGGGATTTGAAATGGGCAGTTTGCTTTTCTGTTGTTTGTTTCCTCTGGTCTTTGAAGAGAGGCCAGGCGTGCAAGATGGGAGATGCTGTGCAGGGCTGCAGGGTCGACTGTGTCGTGTTTTGGTCTCGGAGCCTTCACATCCTGGGGGTTTTCTTACTGAAAAGGGCAAGAAGATGCCTGCACGAAATAATTTTGGGGACACAGCCAGGCTGCGTTTATTAAGAGACTCTCCTGTTTGGTCACCATGATTCAAAGCCAAGGAGCCAGTGCTCTGTTCCATACTCCTTTTCCTTTTGATGCCAACCCTTTGGGCGATTGTAACTAAATATTACATTTTAGAAGTGGTCTCAGGTACAGTTTTCTGGCCCAGACGTGATACCTCTGCAGTCTGGGCTGAGACACGTGGTGCCGTTGGGCTGCGCTCTCATCTTCTGGGTGTAAACCCAGAGTAATTGCGTCCCTGTCAAATCTGCACAGGCGCAGGAGGGGTCAGAAATCGGTGCTCCGTGGCTCGGCCGTGCCTTGCCCCATTCAGCTGGTTCGCCGGCGGCTGAGGGTAGAGGAGGCAGAAGACCTCAGCGTATCCCCAGAGATCCCCGTGGGCTTTCGGTGGGTTCCTTTCTCAGCAGCCATGAAACTACTTGGACTCGGCTGATGGCTGGCAGGTTTCTCCAGTGAGCAAGCTGCGTGAAGCGTATCCTGAAGTGCCTCTTCAGACCGCGGCATTGGGCTGAACAAGCCCTGCTTTTAATGAAGTAATTGTTATTTAATAGCTTTTATCAACGTCAGGGGAATTTCGGGCCTCGTTTATTCTACAAAGGCTTGGCGGTGTAGCAACAACGGCGTGGTCGGATCGATAAATGTTCCTCGGGGAGGGACAGTCTATGGCAGTTTCCCAAAACCACAATGAACTGCCTGGCACAAGTCTCCCTTTCTCTTCCTTCCCTTCCCACCCCATAAAGGCTTTGGCCAGCCTAGTTATGTCAGCTAAGGGTGTGATATTTTTTTTTCTCAATCCTAATTGACTCATTCGTGCCAGCAGAACTTTAAAAGGTGTCCAGCCTCAGGTGGGGTTTTGTTGTTTGGGTTTGGATTGTGGTTCCGCCCCCCCAGCCGGTCTCACTGTGCTGGATGGAGAAGTTGCCTTTCCTTGATCAGGCCAGGATATTTAGCCAAACGTGCCTTTCTGAGGAAAACTGGTCCCTGCTTCTTCTAGGAAAGCCTCCTTTTCTTGGTGAACAATTTGTTTCACAGCTGTTAAATCTGAGATGGGAAGCAATACGGATAAATGTTAGGATTTTTGCTTAGTTTTGTTTGCCTTTCAGTTGGTAATTCAGCAGCATCTCTGTGGCAACCATGTAAAATGGTGTGGTAGTAATCAATAATTTGCTTTATCATCTGAATTGGCTTCTGTGACACTTGTGGACCTGAACACCGCACACGGAGGCACAAACTGTGAATGGTTCACATTTATCAGACCCCTACTCTGGTGGCGGGACGATAGAGGAAGGTAGAAAAGGGCTAATTAATTTATTCACATCCCCTCCTAGATTTTTTTCTGCTCTGAACCCTGTGCCTTGGTTCCCTAACTCCCGTCGTTCGCTAGTGCCGTTCTTTTCAAGGTCGGCGGGTGGGTGTAGGAGCACAGGGCCACCGCTTGCTATGGCTGGTGGCGTCACCGGTGGGACAGCAAAGGTTTGGTGGTTTGGAGCAAAAAATATTTACCCTGTGGAGCTCGTGGTTTGCACTGGTGCTCATCCAGAACACCTGCCTGCTGTGGTGCTGGCTTCTCCTAAACCGAAACGCATCGGAAATTAAATCTCTCATCGGGTGCGTTGCTGGTTTGAGGCTCAAGTGATGCCAGAGGACGTGGAAGCAGGGCAGAAAGCATTTCACCTTTATTGCTGCTGGCAGAAGGACAGCGTACCTGACAGCCTCCTGAGCTCTTACAGCTTAGAAGGGTGGCTAATCCTTATCAGACACCTACTTGCTTTTTTGTTCTTTTTTATAACCTGTCAGCAAAGAGATGACTGCTCGGATTTTCTCGCCGTTCTCTTTTTCTTCCCCACCCAGGAGAAGCCTAACTCCTATCCGTGAATCATTCTTGCGTAGGTATAAAGCTCTGAAGTCATTTTTAACCTGAGAAACTCTCTGCCAAAGTAAGCAGTGATTCGGAGGAGAGCAGTGCGGGAAAACCTGGTGAACCAAGGGACCCTGCAGATCTCTGAGCAGGCCACCGAGAAGTGAACTTCTGGTTACTGGACCTGCTCGGGCATCGCCCTGACGGCGCCTTGGACTCTTGCGCCGCTACGCTGGCTGTGGGAGTCTGCTTAACGATGCAGAAAACAGGACAATTATTTTAACCAGTACAGAGTGGCTTAAAGGCAGGGCAGATAATTGGGTTTTAAAAACTCAGGTCTCCTTTCTGGTTAGTGATGCAAACAAGTACCAACACCGAGCAGAGCGCAGCCGCGGATCGTGGAAGTGTATCCATTGCACCTTTTTCTGGTTTTAATGCTGGAGGTGACACCCAGAAGTCACTTGCTGACCTCGTCACCAGCATTAGGAGAATTTCTGCAGTACTGGGACTGGATGCGTTTTTCTCCATTGTAAATCCGTTATCTGATGGACTCGTTTTTCATGAAGTCAAGCGAGATACTTCATGAAGAACTGTGCAGGGAGTCTGTGGAACGATTCACGTGGATACATACGTATTAGTAATTGCTTTATTTGTCTGTCTCAGGTCTGTCACCTCCGATAGCGTTATCACAGGAGCCCCAGGGTGCCAACCCTCTGAAATTCCACCCGAGTCAAGATGGGACTCTGTCTCCATTTGTTCTTGAGCGGGGCTGATAGGAGATGATAAATGAGCCGTTACTTTACTGCGATGATGGATACAACCAAAATCTATCCTAACTTTGTTTGGCACGGCAGCACAGTCTGTTAATTTATTGTGTGTAATTAAAAAACCCCGTCAAACTGAAAGCATGCCTTTAATTAAAGCCCCCGTAGCCACAGTTTGTCATGCTCAATGCTCTGTGTTTTGGTGAGTGGTGTGGGTTTGATTGGTGAGAATGCAGGCATGGGGTTTGTTGGAGAATTTTAGGATTTCAGGTGCTCAGACGTATTTGGCTGCAGCAGATCAGTGTGGGGTCACACATCTAGAAGGGACGTTATCCAAAAGCAGAACTCTCCTCTACTCACATAGACAGAAACAAGGTCATTGGAATCGGGTTTGGTGTAAATAGGGGCTGCATCAATACCTGGTAACACAGAAGGGAGAATGCTCAGCTGTTTAAAGGGATTAAAACATCGTGAAGCGTAGCGTGGTACGACCTTGCTCTCGGGACAAGGTTTTTCTTGTCGTCTGGTTGAAGAACACCCTGTCTGCCTGCACGCAGCGTTGCGGCCGAAATCTCTCTTTTGCCGAGCCCCAGCTTCCAAAGCCGCTCGCAGCATTTCGGGGGGTGCGGCCGTGGCACCGCAGAGAGGCACCGTTGTCATCAGGGGTCTTCACTGCTTTTCTTTTGTGTTCGAAATAGCGTTGCCCTGCTGAAATTTGATTACAGTACTTGGGGTTTTAATGCGGGTGGGATACAGGGTTGTCTTTTTTCTCTGGGACCCGAGACAGCAGCAGGGCAGGGTGGTTGCTGATCTTGCCTTGGGTGCTGCAGGAGCTTTACAGCTTCCACAGCTGTGAAGGCTTCCTCACAAAGCACGGCCTTTTATACCTAGTGATTTGTTCTTTTCAATAGAGCTCTTCTGTTGAAGTTAAACTGCTTTTAAATCATGTATACAAAGGCACTTTTGTCGGGGAGGCCGGAGCCCTCTCGCTTTCAGAGCGGGCCTCAGGAAGAGGAGCTGACACTGGAGGGCATTGCTCAGCCCCCCGTTCACACCCGCGCTCAGCCTCCCCTCCCGATCTGCAGGGTTTGTTGGTGTCACCCACTCCTGCCCCACGTTCATTGCAGCTGCAGGTCTGCTGGAAGGGCGGTCTATGGCCCTTGGAGCTAAATGTCCTCAAAGTTCAGGTATTATCAGGCATTTGTTCTGGAGGCGCCTAAGACTGCGAGAATGAGAGCCAGCAACAAGGCATTTCTTTCTGCTTGTAGATTATATACCGTGTTTGTCAATGTACGTGAGGTTACTGGGTTGGTTAGTTCAGCCTTGTTCGTTTTTCCAGAGGGGTGAATCGCGGCTCTGAGGTGCTGCCCGTCAGCCAGTGCCCCGTGGCAGTCCTGTCGTGCGCTCCCACCTGAAGCTGCTTTGCGGATAAACGTGGCTTTGGTTAAATTCTTCCGTTACAGCTGAGTCCTGTCATTTCTGCACTAGGCAAGAATGAGAACGAAAGCCAGGTCTCTGTTTAGTATCGGACCTTGGAAAATCTGTTTCTGTCAATAGTTGGTGGTAATGTCACTACAGTTCTTAACGTGTCGTGCTTGGCCTTGTCAAATCTCAAATAAAGTGTTTTTTTCCATTTTGTTGCGCAGTGTCGAAAAAACACGGCAAGCTCATCACCTTCCTTCGTACATTCATGAAGTCGCGCCCAACGAAACAGAAGCTGAAACAGCGGGGGATCCTGAAGGAAAGGGTGTTTGGCTGTGACCTGGGAGAGCATCTTCTCAACTCTGGCCATGATGGTAAGAAACAATCCGTTCTGGGGTTCTGCCTCTGTTGGGAATCGTGCTTTGGGGTGATCGTGTCTGGCGAAGGGGTAGTTGGTACTAGCAGAGAAATGCGTAACAAAAGCCGAAGGCTGAGAGATGAGTTGAGACTAACGCTGATCAGAAGCATCGTGGCTCGACGTGGGAGCGCTGACGATGGACGGAACTACTGAAGGTGAGCTCTCAACCTCTTGAAGTCTTAGAATAAATACTAAAATTGTTTTTTTGCAGGGAAATAAACTTTATTCATGTGTCGGTATCAATGAATAATTAACTGGTGTGTTAAATCCATATGTTTCTCTGACTCAATACCTCTGTATGATTCTAGCACCATTTGCAGTGTAAATCCTCCGTCCGCCTTTTCCCTTGATTTCACAACATTTACAGGAATTAACTGGATATTATCTTTTGTCACAGCTTACTTTTCTCTCAGTTTGTTAATGGTGAGTTTTCTGTAGGTCTTCCACTCCCTAGTAGACTCCCATCAGCAGTCTAGGGAGGTAGCAGAGAAGAGCTGTCCATTCCAAGAAAAAAATCAGGCAATCATTACCACTCTTCCTCGGATGAACTTTCCTTGGACGCGCTCTTCCCTGCCCTCTCGCTGTGACATCTCCAGTCTCGGCTGTGAAGTCGGGGAGGTACCCGCGCTGCCGAGCAGCAGACGGAGGGCTCGCGTTCTTTCGCACTTCGTTAGCCGAGGTCGTTCCCGTGTGCTGAGGGTTGTTTAGGAAAGCGGCACGCTGCAGCCACTTTACCCGGGAGTTGAAGCCATCAGGACATCAGAGATGGGTGTAGCATCGCTGTCTGGCTCGGGCAGCTGGTTGAGCTGTTTCGTGGTTCTGCTCCTTCCCTAATGCGGGAGGTTTTGCAGCGGACCTCTGATGCCCAAGTTGTTAATCTGATGTCTCCCAGCTTTTGCGTGCGGGCTGAAGGAGAAGCGATGTGACTGTGGGGTAGAAAAGGAGTTTCTCTGGGTCCTTCAGACTCCTGGTGTGGATGACTGCCTTTTGGTAAAGGGTGGGGAGCTGTTGCGTGCACTTTTTCCAGCGGATTCAGTTAGTAACAGCAATGTGCACTCCCTTGCCTGATGTGGAGTGTTTTACTACCAGTTGGTGAATAATATGAGCTTGTTCTTATGGAATCAGGGCTGTGGCAAGGCTCATTGGCTTGTTAATTGGAACCAGTAGAGATCTTTATTGCTGGGGCTTGAAAAGCATCAGAGCGCCAGAAACTGGATGGTTTGGAGACAGAAACAGCCAGTAACCCATGTAAGAACTACATCAGGAGTAGGTAATTTACACCACCGGGTAGCTGGAGGGCTGGTTTTGTGTTCATGCTGTGGGAGCAGTCTTGGAGGGCAGGAGACATGCCAGCAGAATGAGCTCATTAATGGGAAAGAGAGAGTTCTCTTCTACCCCGAGCCCTCCCCCGTCCAGTTGAGTTAGGCACAAGTCAGCAAGAATTACAGCTTCTCCCTGCCCTCTGCGCTGGCTTCTTCCCCTGGCTTTAAGGGGCACGCATTTTATTTAGCGTTAAAAGACACGTCCTGAGCTGAACTGCTCTAACTCTGCTGGAGGCTCCGGTCTGACAGCCCCCAGGAGCTCACTTCTGGTTCTGGTCGCTCCCCTCCCATCGCGTGCGACTGGGTGGCTCTGACTGAGCTGTGCGAATGAGGTCTCTGCGTCTGAGAAGTTACCAGTTGCTTTCACCCGAGGTTTAATAACTCTTTCCTAACTCCCTGGAGTGAGGCAGATCCAGTTTGAATGTTGCTAACAGGGGCATGTCTCCATCTCACGCAGCAGGACTGGGGTTTTTTTTCCTGTGTGATTCAGCTCTCTGTCCTGTATTCCAAGTGAAGTAATCCCCGGGATTGGTTTTGCGGAGACATTTCTGGGTTCCTGTGAATCCAGCTCCGTGCATGCACAGCGTTTTAAGAGTCCCTCGTTCTGTAGCATTAACGTTCCTCAGTCTCGGAGCCAACTAAAGGGGCCTGAGACATCGCAGGAGACCCGAAGTCGAGTTAGGGAGAGCAAAGATGCAGTCCTGCTCCTTCACCTCGTAACCAGACCATAAACAGGTATTTTTGTGGGAGCGTGGAGTCTGTGCGTGGTACCTACTGGTAACGCTTTGGGATTACGACCATAAAACATCTCCGTTCAGAAAGCCGAAGAAAAACCCAGTACATTCATAGAGTCGATGAGGTTAATGCTAGTTTTGATGGGTTGCTGCCTGATGCCCCAAAGATTCAGCAGGACTGAAGGAGAAAATGACACTGTCCACAGAGTTAGAAACGAGTGGCGAGGCATTCACGTGCTCCTCCGAAATGCAGTGTTGAACCAAACCGGAGTTACGTTAAGAATTTTATTAATCATCAGCTTAGGGAAGCTGACAAAGCCGAAATTCTGAAGAAATCCCTGTACAACAACACGGGCAGTCCCGGCTTCGCAGTCGTGAGCCCCTGAGGCTTTGCTTGTCTTTTAGATAGGAAACGGTGAGAGAGGAGCAGCCCGAGAGAATAAAAAGGGATGAGGAAGGACAAAAACTGGCACAGGTGTGACGTTTTCTTACCAAACACCGTGCTGAGGCAGCTGGCTCGGGTTGCTCAGCTAGGAGAAGCGTGCATTTGCCATCGGGTGCCTGTGTGTCCAGAAGGGAACCTACGAGTGCAGAGGATGCGCGCTACCCACTGCCGTACGTGGTCCTTCTGCGGGCTCAGCAAGTAAGCAGCTCCTGCTGCACCCGCTGCACCTCTTGCCAAAGGAGAGTAAAGCAGCATGAGATGTAGAGGAGGAGAAGGACAAATATGACCTGTCTTACTGTCAGAGAGCAAGAGCCCCGGCAATAGCGTCCTGCCAAGCTGCGTCCACGTGCTTCACCTTCGGCACGCGGCGGGCCCTGAACTAGCGACGCGTTTGTCTCGCTTGACCCGAGTTTGAGATCAGTCTTGCGCCGAGGCAGGGTGCTCGTTCCTCTCGAAGGCTCCTCGCAGGCTGGCGTGACAGAACTCGCGTCCGCTAAGCTGCAGGGTGTGAGACGCGTGTTTGCTGGAGCTTGCCCGGAGGGGAGGGTGGCGGAGTGGAGCAGGCAGGCTGGTGTTGCCACCGCCTGGTCCTTGTTGACGAGGATGCAGTCTGCCCGTTTTTTGATTGATGTGCCTGGATCTGAGAAGTAACGCTGTGAGTGGGTATAGGAAGGGAGGTTTTTAAGAACCGTTTACAATAGGAGCAGTAGGGGCGAGTACTGCACCTTCAGATCTTCACGCCTGGTGACTCAGGTTGCTGGGCTGGCAGCTGTAGACAGGCAGCGTGCTGGGTTTTGGATTGGTTGGGTTGGGGTTTTAATTCCAGTGCGTAGCGCGCTGACGCTTGGAGCTCTGCAAACACTGGTGGGGCCCTTCTGTGGCAGGAGTTGCACCTCTGGATGGTGGGAATCAGCCCTTTCCCAAAGGCCCTTTTTGGCCAGACAGCGGTGAGGGGAAGGAAGCAGCAGGGTCCTGTTCCTTAGGTGAGGATCTGAGTCGTGGGCAGGCCGCAGGATTGTTCTTCAAAATTATCTGTGTTCTAAGCTGCTTTGGAAAGTGGGCATGAGGAGCCACATGTAGTCCTGGTCACTGGGCTGGGGTGTACGTGGGTGTGTTGCTTCAGTGAGCGTAACAGCGGTCTCTCCGTTGGTGCTCCTCTTCCCAGTCATGTGTCCTTCTGAACTACGGGCTGGGACCTGTAGGAGTAAAACCAGTTTTGATGTGCGGGATTTTTGCCTTCTCTACCAGCTCTAAATCTGGCAGAGGTGGTGGTGGTCCCTTCAGGTACGTTGGTTTGCACAATACCTCTCCAGCCACCCCCTGGAGCCTGCCTGAAGAGGCCCGTCTCCGTTTAATTTTAGTGTGTTATTCATCTCTTGGCTCCTTCTGCGTTTTGAACACTTCCCCTGCCAGCGAAGCGCCGTTTGGGAGCAGACCAAGCTCGGCAGGGAGTAGCTGTTCCTGCGTCGCCCAGAGAGATGGTCCCGGTTGGTTTGGTGCTGTTGACACCCGCCACGCTAGTGTGTTTCAGGGAGCTGCAAGATGCAGCAAATCCCGCGTTATCCCTGACTTCTGAAGAGGCCTCGCTCCCTTCGTAGGCAGAGAGACTTTTTTCCCCCCCTTCATTTTTTTCTCTCAAAGGAAACCAAACAGAACTTAAATTTAGCTCGACCCCAATTAGAAAGAACTGTGCTTGCGGAGGGTGTGTGTCTTCGGTGTGGGAGCTGGGTGAACGCCGCATTGCAGCGCCTGTGCCGCGTCCCCGGCTGTGCCTCGGAAGATTCGGAGCGGAGCTCTCCCCAGCTGCTGAGCTGCTGGCAGGCGTGGGAGGCCGCAGTACCGCGGTGAGCAGAACCTCTGTGCCTGGCCGCGCCGAGAGCCCGCTGGGGTGGGAAGCTCTGTAGGCGCTTGTGGCATGGATACATCATC